TATATATATATACCATCCTGACAACATATTGGTTTGTACAATCCATCACACCCGACATAAACCACATCACACTAAAAAATGTTTTTGGCGAGGTTACCTTCCAATAAATATCATTGTTGAAATTCTAACTGTTCACTATAACTCAATACTTTTATTTATTTTACGCGAGTACAATATATTATATACTGTATCAGAAATTTAGTTTTTATATCTAAAGTCAAATCTCAAACATTTCATATCACTTTCACAGAATAGAATTATTTGGTTATTTTCAAATGACAGCAGCAGGTAGCTGAGTTCACAATTTACTGCAAAATAAAAACTCATTTACAAAAATTGCATGTGCAACTCAAGATCAGTTTTGCAAACAGTAGTGGTTCACAGAGCTTCTTAATCAACCCACATTTTTACTCTTTTCTTTTCTCCTCCTCAAATAGAAATAATGGGGAAACTGGGAGGGTACTGCTTGCCAAAATTACCGTCTACTCAAAGTTTCAGAACTCCCTTCTTGTTTGCTCTGAACTCTGCGGCAATCTGCCATGGCTCACCACTGAACTGAGCAGAAAGCTTGGCACAAAGTGTTTCGTCTGAAGGGACCTTAGCGGACCCCCTCAGTAAATAGTTTTCCTTTGCACTTGCTTTTAACCCATTGATTAGTCTTAGTGTAAAATAAGCAGTGGATTGAAATTATTCTATTGCGAACAACAATGTAAAAGGTTGTTTATTTTAAACATTTTAAGCCCTCCTTCTATTGTGTGTGTGTTTAGTTTAATACGTTTCATGTCATAGAAATATTTCAAATTTATTTTTTTATTTTTTTATTTTTTTGCAGGTTGAGGCTGCAAAACAGAAGAAGCCCAAGTATCACCCCTGCCAGTGGGTGGTTCTTATCCTGGCTCTGGTCGTCCTGATTTTGGCCGTCTGTGTTTTCAGTCTGAGATATTTGTGGGGCCCGAGTCTGGGGAAGGTAAGCCTAAGTATCACCTCCATGCATGCCAGTCATCAGCTTTATTGAAACTATCTGAGGTAAATGTGGTCCTCTTGACAGATGAAAGACACCCCGCGCTTCCACGTCTGCAAATCATACAGGTTAGATCAAAGAAAAAAAAATGTGAGAGGAAGATGGATGGCCAAACAAGAAACCAGAGGCAGCCTCTGGAGTCTGTATTGTATTTGAGTAGATTAAAAGATGTGTGGGCTATAGAAGAGACAGCTGTGTTTTCCTCGGCTCATGTTTTGGCTGTCGGATCTGTAATTTTGCGAAGTCTTGGCTGTGACCGCAGACCACTTTTTACTGCTGCAAATGTTGGACTGTTGCATTTATCTGCTTTCTGCTCAAATTGTAAACATCTTTTCACAACGAAGGAGCCTGGTAACTAAAGGCTGACCCTAATTGCTGTTGAACAGAGTGGCCACAGAAGGACTGAAGCCTCTCGRCAATCTAATTGGGATAAACTCTTGTCCTGGCAATTCATCTTGTAAAATCCAATTCAATCACACTTGATGGAGAACATTTTCACCCTCCTCGCTTCCCAAGGGGCCGAAAGAGCTAATTTACCAAAGTTAGACGGGAGAATACATCAATAATCTCACATCCAGAAATTGGACGCTCTACATGTTCTGAGCCTGGTTGGAGAAAATAATTAAATTGAAATAATGGTCAAAAATGAACACATACATTTGAAACCTGATTTTATAAAGCTGCTTTGTGTGCACAGTAAATGCCACAAGGTGAACAGAGGGATGTGCTGGAAGCTGCTTGCGTTTCTACTATTGTCATTGCTACAGCTAATAAACATTAATTCAGTGCACATTTTCTGTTTCTGCCTACACCGAGGTACAAATTTCAACTGCAGACAGTCCTTTCTGAGCTCAGGTTAGGAAAGGGTCGTCTGCGCTTCCTGTATAGATGGTATTGTCCACGCGCTCTCCTTTCAACACAGATATGAATCACCTTTGAGCCATCTCCTTTGTCCTTGTTAAATATTTCATGCCGGAGGCAGAGCAGTCATTATTTCCACTTTAATAAGCTGTGATCATTCTCACGTGGCTCAAAATGTGTTGATGGCAGAGGTTGCCCAGACGATGAATATCAAACCTACAGAGCCTGGGTTTTGCTTTAATGGGGCCTTGAGGGAGAGGCTTATTGCCTGGCCTCTGTATCAGGGAGCAAGATGGAGCCACTTCAAATGAAGATCACCTCTCTGCTAAGAAAGAAACTCCCTTGAACGTGGTAAATTTCAGGTAAAACCACCCTTAAGGTAAGAAAATTGATTGATACAGCTYATTGATGGGAGGATGGATAAGTTCCTCTGTACATGTGAGACAGCCAGCATCTTATTGATGAGGTGTGAAGGAATACACAGCAAGACTTTTCCCCTGCTAAGCCTGAGCAGCATCCTCAGCCTCATGAGTAGACTCCGAGAAGTAAACCAGATAAAGCAACAGAGTGTGGACCATGTGAGTCTTTTACAYACAAATGCAACTTAACTATAGAGCTCACATGAACATTTTCAATCATGTTGAAGCAAGTTTGAAGCAAGAGACGTAGAGACATACTGTTGCCATGGTTTCCAGAATCACTTTTTTTCCTGCATCACTTGGCTGCTGGGAAACATTCTCCAGCTTAAGCAAAAACTTCAGGTATTCATAGACGAACAGTTATTTATGAAAACCAATCATCTTGTTTACTTTTAAAAACTGTGCTAATCAATATGAACGAGGTATATTTTTGCTGCAGTGGTCACACTATTCTGTCATTGTTCATCCAGAARCAGCATTTAATCAAGAACAAAAATAGAATTTTTTTAAAATGAGGGATAAAAGTGATAAACAGTTAA